ACGAGGAGCTGCAGACGCAGCGGGTCATGGCCAACGTGCGGGAGCGCCAGCGCACGCAGTCGCTGAACGAGGCGTTCGCCGCGCTGCGCAAGATCATCCCCACGCTGCCCTCGGACAAGCTGAGCAAGATCCAGACCCTCAAGCTGGCGGCCAGGTACATCGACTTCCTCTATCAGGTCCTCCAGAGCGACGAGCTGGACTCCAAGATGGCAAGCTGCAGCTATGTGGCCCACGAGCGGCTCAGCTACGCCTTCTCGGTCTGGAGGATGGAGGGGGCCTGGTCCATGTCCGCGTCCCACTAGCAGGCGGCGCTCCCCACCCCTCGGCAGGGCCGGAGACCTAGGTAAGGACCGCGCCTCTGCGCCGCTCAGGTGGCGGGCGGGCGGGCGGACGGAGGGACGGACGGACCGGACGCGGTGGCCGGGCCGCCTGGCCGCGCGCCTCTCCCCACGGTCCTCCCAGCCCTGACACCGAACCTGGCGCGGCTGCCGCGTTCCGCCTGCGTCCCCGGGAGCCTTTCGGTCCCCGCGAGGGAGCGAGGTGCCCCGGGGGCTGCGCCGGGGCAGGGTGTGCGTGTGCGTGAGCGTGCGTGACACACCGGAGGGAGGACCGAGCAAGAGTCCAGGGTCAAGGGGAAGAACGGTTCTGCCACGACCTCCCTTTCTTTGGGCTTTAACATTTCGTTCTTCTTAAAACAAATGTTTCCAAATTCCACCTCCTCCTTTCCGCCCACCCACTTCCTCTTGCCCTCGGGCTGAAATCCTTCCAGGTTGTTCCGCGTAATTTCTCGGCGGTGGTGATAACAGGGCTCACTTAGTCTTAGAGAACAGCCGCAGAGACCTAAACAGTAACCAACTTTCCCCCCTGTCTGGGTTTTTGCAGATGTCATTGTTTCCAGAGAAGGAGAAAATGGACAGTCTAGAGACTCTGGAGCTGGATAACTAAAAATAAATATATATGCCAAAGATTTTCTTGGAAATTAGAAGAGCAGAACCCAAATACAAAGAAACAGGGCGTGGGGCGCACTTTTAAAAGAGAGAGCGAGACAGGCCCCTGGACAGTGATTTCCAGGCGGGCAGCGGCACCATCCTCACACCTCTGCATTCTGATAGAAGTCTGAACAGTTGTTTGTGTTCCTTTATGTTTTTTTGACGAAGAATGTTTTTATTTTTATTTTTTCACGCATGCATTCTCAAGAGGTCGTGCCAATCAGCCAATGAAAGGAAAGGCATCATTATGGATTTTCTCCATTTTAAAATGGTAATAACCAGAGGAATTTTAAGAACAACTTTAAAAATAAAGATAACGGGATCAAACTGGCCTGCAAAATCATAGTCAGTTAATTCCTTTTTTGTTCTTCCTCTGAGGGAAAAGAAAAACTTAAAATACAAAAAACAACATTCTATTTATTTATTGATGACCCATGGTAAAATGCAAATAGATCCGGTGTCTAAATGCATTCATATTTTTATGATTGTTTTGTAAATATCTTTGTATATTATTTTTCTGCAATAAATAAATATGATTGAAAATTTTAAGAACCTTAGAGTTTGGTCTATATTTTTAAAGCTTAGGATTAAATTGGTGGTAAATACCTGCTTGTTTAACTCTAGAGGCACCCAGGAGGGAGGGGGCACTAATATAAACAAAGCAGGGAAAAACTCAAATAAACCAGCTACTGACAGGCACAGGCGTGTTATTTGAAAAGACAGCTTTATTATTATTCCATTTTGGCGTTCAGCGGGACCTAACAGCATCTCTCCTTCAACTCTTATCAAGTTCCCCAGTGGAAAACTTTCAACGAATTGGCTATTCAGCTCTCTTGTTTGTAGTTTGAATGAGTAACTCTAAAATACTCAAATGATTAGTTTGAAACCAGCACTATTTTTCTTGTTCCTATCTATTTTTGCCATTCGCTCTGTTCTTTGTGAGAATTCTTAAATAGGTTCATTTCAGAGACAAGATAATGTGGCAATGAAAATTATTTCTATACATGAATACGAATGCATGGAAAATACTGTTTCATTCAGTAGGAAAAATAATTTCATTTCTAATTTGTTTAATCCTTCTTTCATGACTGAGTGTGACATTCAGTGTCATGTTTACAGAAGAAAATAGTCTTGATGTTAGCTGAGAGGCTTGCTCCTATTTATACATAAAAAATGTATAGCTGTGGAAGAAAACTGAGTTTTCCAGTATCGTTGGTAACTTTTAAAACAGTTACTATTTTAAATGCTATGGCTATTCTGTTTCAAGTGGGCTCTGTAGTAAATATATTTTATCCAAAAGTGTGCATACTGTTTCCTTGAAGACATGCACAATCTCATGAAGTAAAACAATCGGAAGTACAAATGGTGCTTGATTTTTATTTCATTCTGATTATTTCTGAGCCAAGAACACGTTGGCGTTTATAAATAATGTCATTAAAGGTAGTGGGTTTTTTTTTTTATCAAACTTAGTCCTTAATTTTTTTTACATTCACTTTACTGAATTCAAGTGTAATTAGGGAGTCTTTCAAACTAGACAATTATTTTGGTGCCTCAGATAAGCATATGTATCCAAACAGGCTGTGTTGGCTTAGCTCAGGTGGAGGTTGCCTTATTGCCTGAAGGATTTTATTTTTCTCTTCACAGACCACAGAACAATGCTGACATGACAGTATTATAAATTTATTATTGTGAATATTTTCAACCATATTTTACAGTAAAGAGCCTGTAGCGTTTACTTGCAAGATTAGTGAAGGGTTGGGGAAATATTATTTGAATTTTGATTGTCTTTTACCAACTAATGAACAGGGAAGGGGATTGTGGATGTATAAATGGTTGTGTGTGTGTGTGTGTGTGTACGTGTGTGTGTGTGTGTGTGTGTGTAGAAGGTAGAAGTGTATAGTGTCACAGTACATAGAAGGGTAAAGGAAAGTATTAAAATGTTAATCTCTTTTGTATGTGTCATCCAACCACTTCCATTTTCTAAATTGTTCATGGGGGGAATCTTCTTGTTCACTAGTTTGGTCTGACTATTTGATATTTCAGATTTCTTGAGCTACATCAGAATGGAGCTGACCATCGTTGCTGAGAAGGTAAACACTATTTTAACTCTGGATGTAAAAACTAGATGTTTCAAAGAAAGGTAGTCTTCCATTTGCCTTTTTTTCATAATGCTTTACTTTTTCCACTTTTTTTTCCTAAGAGGAAACTGAAGAAAAGCAAGTGTCCCATTTATATTCACTAATACTAAATACAAGATACCAGGAAATATTTTCCTCTAGGTTTTCACAGAAATAAATGAACGAACAAAAAGTGGTGAATAGTTTTACTCTGAGGAAACTTCACGGTGGAAAATATTAACTACTCAAATACAACTTTTAGCTTGCAAATTCTATATTCTTACTTCTTATCTATATGACTTAAAATGCTCAACATTTTTTAGAATACAAATAAAGCCACCTGTGTTATCTTCTCCACCATTACTTCTTCTCACTTTTCTTCATTTCATTTTATTTTTGCTGCCTACATTTGCTTAAAAGATTCATCGATACCTGTTCTATCAGTAAGAAGATAAATCTTTCCATTTAGTTAGGTGGCTGGACTCAGGTCTTCCCCTTTAATCCAGAACGCATTTGCAAGGGGAGAGTATTGTAGTCAGTGGCCTTGGATGAATTCTAAAGTGTTGAATAAGTTGTTTATTGTGCAAATCATTATTTTGTTTTTATTTTTATCTGGTTGATAGCCTTCAGTCATAAGAAAGCAGTAAGTTTTTCTTCCCATGTATTTCCCCTTTTCGTGCATATCCACGCTGAGCACATGCCGAGATAATCATTCGCGCACAGTTGCAGGTACCCTCCCCAAAGCAGAACAGACTACTGATGAAATAACCTTACGCAGCAGAAACGCACACACCTTGTGTAGCTTTTCCCCACATTCAACAAAGGCACCAACTTCTTGCCCCTTCGCTCCTCGGGCTCATATTCATAATGGAGCTTTTTAAGGGACACTTGGCCTCTTGCAAAAAAGTAGAGCATTTTGCACATTCCACGGTTTGGCAAAGTCAGAGCTAGTTATTTTCTCTAGACCAGTATCAAGTTCTTCTCAGGCATATGATTTCACTTGAAGTCCTGCCCAGGAATCCTTCAAAGTGAGCGTTTGTCCCGCTCTCATGATGTCAGGCGGTTTTCCCTGCATCTGTAATTTGAAGAAAAACAAACAAACCTGCGGAGAACAAACGCCACGGAAACCCAAACAGAACTCGGTGGGGAGCAAGGGTCTCACCTGCGGTGGGCGCGGGAGAGGGGCGCGGGCCCAGGCTCCCCTGCGTGGGTGGCAGGCCGGCTGCACCTTGGAGAGGGTGACACTGCCCGTGCCCTCTTCAGATGGGGTGGACCCACTCCCGTCCTGCTCTGGAGGTTGTTTGGAGGCTGTGGCGCCAAGTGTCAGCGTTAGCAAGGGGAACAGCAGCAGCAAATTCAGGCTAAGGCCCAACCTCAAATTTCCAGAGACAGGCCCCGCATGAGCGACAAACGGGTCGGAAAGGGGATCCCCGGGGGCCACTTTTGCAGAATTTTCTGCTTATGTGTCATAAAGACTGCCCCGCCCCCTGCACCAGCGAAAGTGGAAGGAACTCGCAATGGCAAAATGGAAGGAGAAATCGACTTCGTAATATCTCAAAGCTGGCCACGCCACTATTTCTCAGAAAACTACTGACTCTTCTTGTAAATTGAGCCCTGGAAAATGCAAACATGAGGATGACTAATTTTCTTTATTTACTCAACAGCAAAAGATAGACCTAGTCAACAGGGCATGGCGTACACTCTCCATTCGGTTTTGTCGCCAGGCCCCACGACTGTGAGCCACTTAATGTTCTTAGCGAATCAAAGCACGTGTCCTTTGAAGAAGGTGTGTAATTGGAGTTTAAGGCATGTATGGAATTCCCAGATGTCTATAAAGTAAGGAGGAGCATGTGGCAGGTCACTGGAAGGTGGGGCAGGTTAAAATCACTCGCTCAAACGGTCCAGCTTTATATTCTCCCCCTTTATAAAGGCCAGCGAGATAATCCTTGGGGAAAGGTTGGGATGGGATCATAATAAATATTCATCTTCTTGTATCACACTCATAGTAACCATGGTGAGTAGCACATGGTCAGAAAACCTCAAAGAAAACACTCAATTACAGCTGGGATTTCGTGGGCTCCTTGCTACAAGATCGTTTGGGGTTTGCTTTAGTTGAGGGCCTCTAAGGGCCTTCTTTCTTGTTTACGTGGACTATTTTCTTTTCCTTCTTTCTTTCGCCCCCGTAAGTTTGTGAATGTGTACTTCTCCTTCTGCGTGCAACCTAGCTGAAGCCAGAGGAACAAAACTCCAGATTTGGAAAATAAAAACAATTCTCAAAGCATTCGTTCCAGAATGCGGCCTTTGGGGGGAAGGGAGATTGCGAGTCAGTGAAATTAAATTTCTGTAAAACATGCAGTTTAAACGTCTACCAGAGGGAAAGCTTGGTGAAAAGAGCCATCCAAATCAGTTTCTCTCCTTTTGCCTTTCACTGAGGAAGGTACAGACTGAGAAGCAAACGTGAGTTTGAGTGTTGATTATTAGGCAGCTTTTGCTTTGTTTGTGTTTTGTTTGGAGGCTGGAGCTTGAATCCAACTACTGCTTTTTTCCTTGGGTTCACAATGCTGCCTTCATTTACCTGCACAATTTAACCAGCGGCGAGGCAGACACCTCCGGAATCGGCTAAAGAAAGTGGCCGGGGCAAAGCTTGGCACCGGGAGGAGGGCGACTTTGGGGGAGTTTGGAGTCTGAGCAAAGAGCTCCACAAAAGTTACCGCTGGAGGGGAGAGGGTTGCGCCTGGGACACAAGTGTGACAAGTGAAAAGTTAGGCAGGTACCTGAAGGAAGTTTATCTTGCCCAGATGTTAAGGCTTTTCTGAAATGTCACGTGAGTAGAACAGATGTATAACTTGCAAATGGAGCCACGCCTGTAAATACAAGAAAGGCAAATGCTTGGAGGGAAATCCAGGCATTAATCATCAGCCTCCTTTTCTAGATATCTATTTACTCCTTTAAATATTTGCTTCCAGTGAGCGATGGTGCTTCTTAAATTAAGTAGATCTTCCAGAGGAAGTCACCACGTCATCCCTAACCCAGAGCCCGCGTCCCGCTAGACACTAGACGCGTGAGGTGTGGGGTGTGGGGTGCGAGGAGTGGGTATGGGGCTTATTTTGCCCCCTGCCCTCCCGTTTTCCTTCTCCACATTCCCCATCCCCCAAGCCTCTCCTCCTGCTTCTGGAAGACTTTTGATCCTGAGAAAAGTATCGGATCTCGGTTTGGAAAAGCTGAAACTAATCAATTGCCTTTTTGAAGGGGTAGAGAGTGATAAGAAGACTGGAGGAATGCCAGGCCTGACAGACCCTAAACCTCCAAGATGCTTAGATGGGCTGAAAGATGAGGGGGGATTCCTCCCTCCTGGGGCAGGGAACCGGCCCTCCTGAGCCTACAGGGAAAGGCTTTTTACTAAGAGACGTGACTGGTTTGATTGAAAAGGATTTTTAAAAATGAATTGTACACGTAAGAGACACTCCACCATGAAAAAAGGAAGCTCAGCTTATAAACGAAATTAAAATAAATTAGCAGTTGCCCAGTTGTGGAGAAAGAGCCCAATTCCTTTCTGTCTATTTAAGAAAGACTTTCATAAAGGTTATTGTTACTATTAACACGTGGTGCAGGCCTGCATTTCTGCACACAGTGAGATTTTAAATATTTGTCACCTATATGTTAAGACAGTGTATTGAATGAATTGTACTGTGGTTGTTCTTTCAAATGCAACACTATCTCCAGCTCTCTGTTACACTGACACTGCATCAGTTTATGGTATTCTATTTATCCATGTAGGTCTCTACTTTAAACAAAAGGTAAAAGGGTATTTTCTTCCACAATATTAAATCCAATTTTATGTCAGGGTTTATCTTCTTAGGATTTCCTACTGGCATGGTCAGAATTGGAATTCCCTTTAAGTGATCACATTAGCTTTAAGGGTTGTCAATTTTTTTAAGTGCCCCGGCCTAGATAAACAGACAGGTTCTTTCTCTCTATGGCATTTAATTTCAGTAACCATCAGCCATACTAACCTTGATTTATTACCTTCGGGTGCATGTCATCTGGTGATAACCCCCAAAACATCCAAGATGCTGTTCCAGTGGTCAGATCCTCCCCCTCTGAGTTTGCCTGATGTTCAAGAAGTTGGACTGAATGCCAACATCCTAAGTGTAAAGTTTACTTTTGGGACTGCTGTACCTCCATATTCTATACATAATACTGGACAGGAGTCCACATTTCTTGTTTCTGAAACACAGCATCAATCAAAGTGCTACGACTGTTGTTGGATTTGAACTTGCAGCGGAGATATCTCCCTACTGTAAATTTAGCAATGACTTTACATCCTTGCTAAATTTAAGGCCTGGAGATGCACTCCTTTTTTTTTTTTTTTTTTTTTTTTTGGTTTTTCTCCGGTACCGGGAACCAAACTCAGGACCTTGGGCTTGCCAGGCAGGCGCTTTGCCGCTGAGCTAAATCCCCAGTCCCGAGATGCACTCCTAATGGAGTCAGCGCTCCATTTCATGGGGCAGACTCCTGTCTTCCAGAACAGTATTCTTTAAAATGTTCTTATAAATCCAGTTTTCACCTTATGACAGAAAGAAATTTCTTTTAGCCTTTTGCAAAGGTTGTCTCTCACCTCATTCCACTCCTGACTTCTCTTGCTACCTCCCATCCACGCACACCCTTTAAAACTTCTAACTGTGTAACACGGAAAAGAGACCAGGAGCAGAGAATCCTTCTTCCTCTTTCTTCTCTCCTGGCCTGACTGAGTGAAACTTAAAACACATCTCATAGATCAGTTTTCCTCCTCTGATGTTAGGCATAGTCCACGACCCGGATTTTCAAATAGCCCAGGCTGGAGTCTGCAATGTTTAATCCAGCCAGCTATTAAATGTCCCCTGGCTAAATCAAGAATATAAGAAAGAACCTGTACAGGGATAATGATACCAAGAGCAGTTTGCTGGAGGGAGAAGGGGAGCTTAGGAGGGGGCAGGCAACCCCAGGGATCCTTTGATTTGGAAAACCCTGTTTTTAGAACTCCTGTCAGAGTAATGGCAAAGCTAAGAAACATGAAAGAACAATCCTTTGTTCCAGGATATGGTTTTAATGAAATACTACTAACACACACACACACACACACACACACACACACACACAATCTATTAATAACCACTTCAGAAATTCCGCTTTTCCTTTACCTATTAGGCACTAGGAGGGTCCGTAATGTGATCTCCTCCCTCTCCCCCTTTCCTGCCGCTTCGGGGTCTCCCCAGTTAAAGTGTAATGGTTGTTCTGACGAGCCGCGGGCTGAGACTGCCCTGCCATCCCGGCTCCCTGCCCGCCTTCTCTGTAGGGCGCCAGGCCTGCGGGATTTGGCTGCGCGGCCTCGGCTTCCCCCTTCCGAAGCCGGGCGCCCGCACCTCGGGAGCCAGCTCTCCGGGTCCCGAGCAGGAGGATTCTGAGAACGCGAGCAAATGTGAAACCCGGCAGAAGGCGTACGGAACTCTGCCTGCTTTGGCTCTATGTTGACCCTGCCCAGCACTTTCTGTTGATTTAAACCACCCGGAGGGACTGCAACCTCGATAGCAAACGGGGCTGGGGGCAGGGGAGGGGAGCGTCGGGCAGGGGGTGGAGATCGCAGAGAAAAACCAACAGCATGTGGGAGGGGGCAGGCAGCGGGACCGGGCATTTTAGCAGCCGCATCTGTCATCCGTAGCAGTGGACAGATAAAACCGGCCCGGATCAAAGAGGTCGGTTCATAAATCACCCATAAAAAACGGATTGTGAGGAGTAAAGGACACGTGTCCAATAATCTGACCCTGGCGTCCGCGGCCCCGGCGCGGTTCCCAGCCCCCTCCGTCCGCGGCCGCGCGGCGCGCAGCTGGGAGAGTCGGGGACCCCTGTCCCGTTCGAGGACCACCCGCCCCCGTCCGACCCCCTCCCCGAGTCTCCGCCCGGCCGCCCCGTCGGGAGCCGGCAACGCGGTTCGGCGCGGACTCTGGGTCGACGGAGGAAACAGCGGGGAAGGAATACGCGTGTTTGCCTTTCCGAAGCAAGGGAATTGCTCTCTCTAAGTCGGAGGTCTCGCCTCCGGGTCCCCTCTTAATGACCGGGCCCAGCTCCAGCTCTCTCCCCCAGAGCACCCGCAGGTTGGTCAGGTGCGCGGTGCCAGCGTGACGCGGCGGAGGTCGGGCTAGCTGCGCGCTGGGTTCCGGGCTTCCGCGTCCCGGCTGTCAGCGCTGCGCCTCCGCAGCGCCGCGGGGTTGAACTATCTCAGGCCGATCGCTGTCCTCCGCCCTAGCCCTGAGGGTATTCTCGCATAGCCCCCCCACTTCCCAAGCCCCGGACTCTGCCGCACCTGCCTCCTCCGGTCGCAGACACAAGCGAAAGCAGGGTCCAGCCGCATGCCGAGCGAGCGGGGCCAGCTGGGCTCGGACCCAGCATCGCGCGCTGGGCGGCTTTGGAAGCGCGGAGCCCCTCAGTCTCCAAAAGACATTTCACAATGCTAAGAAAGTTTGTGGATCGGTGTGGGGGGTGTTCATTGACCAATGCCCCTTCTTACCCTCGCTCTTCTGCTCGGTGTTAGCATCCTGCAGATAAGTAGGATTTTGCATATAATAGGTGTTTATGGTTCTAGGAGCTGCTCTTTGATCTAGGATTTGAGGGGTGGAGTGTCTAAGGGGTCTCTAGACGCTTGTCTGATTTGAATGCTTTTCAGAATGATTTATGGCAAAAAGCTCATTTCTGACACTTCCAGATGCCAAAGCTCTTACCTTCCTTGAAGGGATGAGGGAAACCTGCTTCCAATAGCCGTGCGGATGGGAACCCGCGTCTGAACGAGCCTGCCTGTCACTGTAAACTGACAGTGTGCACAGCCTCCTTCCAGAGCAGCCAACCTTCCCCTCCTGCTTGTTAAGGAGGAGGGAGGGATGTGCTTTAGGATGACGAAGTTACGGAGGGAAACCGAGTCATCCTCCTGCAAATTCAGGCTCTTCCAGGAGGTTTCTTTTGTGCAGTTAACCACCTGCTCTCACTGGTGGTTTGGCTAGTGCGGTTTGACCCCCGAACCCTCGCGTGAAGCGGAGCAGGAATAAGCCCTCCGTTGGGACCCCGGGTGGTTTCAGGCTCCAGCCTTAACCTCTGGCCATGGAGTGGATCGAAGTCCTGGTTCCCGCGGGGCGGAGGCTCGGGCAGCTTTGAGAAGCTGCCGGAGCTTCCAGGGAGGAGGCAGCGTCTTTCGGAAAGCTCCCTCCAAGCACAGGACAGCGAGGCGAGGCCAGGAAAAATAACCCTCCCGACGCAATTGCTTGGAGCTCCACCGTGAAGCTGAAAAGCTGAAATGTGTGCCGCGGCAGGGGGCAGGTCAGACAGGGCGGACGCTAGAGCGATTTTAGGGGACCCCTAGGGCCGGCCGAGCTGTGAGAACGCGCTGAAGGCGTTTGTAACCTGAAGCTAAAGGTGGGCCCGACCCACAGTAGCCTCCAGCAGACGCTTTTCCCAAAGGAAACGAAGTTTTCCAGACATTTCTTCTCCTTCAAAACATAACCCACTGGGGCAGAATGTAGAGGGGAGGGATTCTTTCTTTCTCAGAGGAAAGGCAAACGAGCGAAGGAGTGAGCTGCGCAGGCTAGGAGACCAGTGGTTAATAGAGTTGAGGCCAGGGCACTACTAGTAAATGTCTGCCCAGGGGTTAGCCCTGAGTGATATTCTGGTTATGTGCTTCGAATCCTACAAGCCTGGGAGTCTGTGATGTTTGGGAAACAGCACCTACTTCAGGCTTTTTTGGTGAGCCTATACCTTAACTGCTTTTGAGTCCTTACCAAGGGAGGAACTCAAAGTTCAGTGGTTCGCATTCTCAGTTGAAAAAATAAAAGATTTCCAGGGTGACAGGGTAGATTAATTGTCTGAACAAACTTATTTTCCAGGGCTCTAGGTTTCCTCATCCTTCAGAAAATTATACAAAAAATCAGATCAGAGTTTATTGGTTTATGTAGAACCGATCCTGATTTGATAAGCTTAATCATATGACAAAAAGCATACTGATCATTCCGTCCTCTCCCTCAAAGAGCAGACTGAGCGTTTTCAAAAGTCGCTATGTTTTTTTCTCCCCCTAGAGTTTGACCACTACATCAAAAGATTCGGGTCACCTCTTGTCTTTTCTGTATGTATATATTTAAGAGCATAAAAATATTAAATAGAAAGCTTTCCCAACTTCAAACCTATCGAATGTTTAACAGCTGAAGGATATTCATCTTTAGGAGGCAGGCCAAAATGTCAATAAAAATTTAATTATTTCTGAAACATATGGGAGCACTTACAAGACCCAAAATGTGATATTAAGTATTGATATTGAGAGGAAACCTTACAATATACTTTCATATTTGCTAGTCAAGACCTTATACCCTCAAAAGGTTCCACAAGCCACAGAAAATTTTATTCTTCCTGACAGGGTTTCTAAAGCTTGCGTGAAAGACAGGTTGGTGGCCCAAGGGGTCACCTATAGTCTGTGTAAAGAGAAATTAGTGTTGAACTCCTATGTGTTTGATGTTTGTCTTCTGCAGAAAATTGTGTTATCTATGATAACAAATATTGTTACAATGTGAAATTGGGGGGCGGGTGGGTACGTTGCTGTGGCCACTTCTGTTGGCAGCTAACACAAATTGCCTTCCAAAATGCTTCATCCAAATATTCTTCCCAACCTATAATTTTGCCAGGCTGTGAGATGTAAGGATACTGTAAAGTGATACTGGTGTTATTTTTGAAGTTGGCTGTGATGAGCAGGACTGATGATGTGTGATTTGGAATAACCTCCAACATATAAGAGGAGTCTTTCTGATAGCTACTTCTTTTACTTACAAATGCCAGTTTTTCATGTAGAGCTTCCAGAAGACTTTTGATTTTTTTTTAAACTTGGCATTCAGAATCCAACTGTTGAACTGTAGGTTAGCCTCAGACCACCTGCTGCTTTGGAAGATGCCTCTGAAAAATCATGGGTCGGTTTGACTGCTTTGTCATTATTTCCAGTTTCCCTGTTCTCTTCACAATGCCTTCAAAATTGATGTGAGTACCTAGCTATCTTTCTCCCAAAACAAGTGGTTTCCAGCGGTTAACATCTGTGAGCTGGGCATTTTACACACCTTCTCTGATCTATTATCAGTAAGCCCTCAGCCCTTGGAACAGAGTTTCTATTTCTCTCAAGGCTTAAATTTGTTTAATTCAGCCATTTAGTTTACAGGAAAGACTTGAAGCCCAACGTGTTTGATTTGAGACTTTAGCCCAAGACTAGCCTAAAGCTAATTTGACCTAGTCCGGGCTCTTTCCTGTACTTGGAAGTATGGTTTTTAGATTGTAAGCAAGATAGTATACTCAAGAATTGGCCTAGGTAGAAGAGCTATTGAGCAACTGTTTCCCCAGGCTCAATTTTATTGAGCAAACAAACTGTTAGATAACAAAGCAGATAATAAGACAAAAACTACCTTTTAATAAATGATACTGGACACTTATTCCAGGCATCTACTTAAAATTTGCTAAATGGTGTAGACCAGGAAATAAATATCACTACTTCACTATCATATCTTTTCATATCCTAAGATTGAAAATGAATTTAAAAATTGCAATTAAAATTGCAATTGTGATCTTTTGAATATATGTACATTTTTGCATACTTTTTAAGTTTTACAATTCCTGCTACAAACATTGCATGCAACTATTACTTTTGCCTTTTGTAAAGATAATTACCACTTAGAAAACTCTTATGAATTAAAGAATGATAGAAAAGGAAAGCGAAGTTAAGTACTGTGTACAAAAGCTTGTTGATCGGGCTGAATAACTGGGAGTGCAGCTTGCCCCATGGAGTGATTATGGGATGAGGCAGAGTGATCATAAGTGGTTTTTCTTACCATAGGCAAACGCTCCCAGAGGCCCTTTCATTCTGTGATCTGCCGTGCCGTTCATCCATCCGGCACGCTCTCCTAGTAGCTTTTCATGAGTTACTGATAGAAAGAATGAAGTGCAGTCACATTCTGGGTAGTACAGTGAGCAAAATAACCTGGGTAAAGTGTGTGTGGACTTGTTCAAGTACAGAGACAGGTGATTCTCATTTATCCTGTAAAATGATTTCTTCAGTTATCTGCCTGTACACAGAGTTAAAAATCATCTAGATCAGCAGAAGCAATTTTTAAATGTTCATTCTTCCCCAAACATTCTTCTCCAAGTGACAGGCTGTGTGGGTGGCCACTATGACACTGTTTTCAGTTAAACAAATGAATGATTATTCAGTCAACAAACTTTTCTTGGAGGTCTAACTAAGGTCTGTAGCTATGAAGAGGTGACCGACTGGAGCTCTTGAGACTGAAGGAGCATCTTCTTATTATAGAAACCTCGTTTCACTGAGAACATTTTGCTGCACGTGCCTGAGAGGTTCCTTAAGTAATGAGTCTATCCCAGTATTCCTTTGATAGTTTGGGGTGGTGGAGAAAATTAGGGACATACTACCTGTGGAAGAAGTGGAAAGAAATTCCTCTATACTAGCATTCTGAAAGTACAAACTTTACAAAAGAAAAAATAGAAGTGAGACCAAGAACATTATATTTTGCATCTGCTATTTCATTTTCTTTTCCTCCATCTGTACCAACATCCTATAGGCTAACAGTCACTTGTAAGACTATCTGCTTTTAGTACACAGGTAACTCTGCATCGTGCTGATATAATCCCAGCACCTTGTTAGCACCAGCACATGGCATTGCTATTAATTTGAATTAATATTACCTTTATACTAATGGAGAAACTAGGCAGAGGTAGCCAATATCTGCACATAAAAAAACCCTGAAAAATGACAGCACTACAATTTATACTGGTAATGAAAGCCCAAATAAGCACAAAAGATGTTCAGAAGATATTTATTAAAACACCATGATTCAAGTATTTATTCTACCTTAAGTATATTAGAGTAAAATAGCTCTGAAACCCCCAGCTGCCCTTTGTCTTTTGTGAATGAATGAAAGCACCCTTTTTCATTTATGGCCTAAGCCTCAGAGCAGGGCTTATTTCAGGTCCCTCTGCACCACGGACCAAAGGCCCTTGTTCAGGGAACATCCTCATAACAATATGTGGCAGTGTTGGCACCCCAAAAGCAATAATTGTTAAGCCTAATAAAAAAATTTGGCCGGCTTGTTTTCTGTGCATTTTTAGAAACCACTTGGTTTCTATGAAAGCTCCAAGAGGACTCTCCACACGGACTGAGCCAGCTGTCAAGAAGAGGAGTCCACTCCTCCTAATCTAGCCAATTAGAGATTTATTTTCATATATTCCTGTCACATAGCTGGACATTGTTCCATCACCCCATAAAGAGTAGAATCATTGATAACTAAATAGTATACATCACTCAGTATCTGCCTCAAAGCCGAAACTTCAATTTACTTGTTTATTGGCTACATGCACACATTATTCCAAAACCAAGAATGGTGGTTTAGAGGCTGAAATGTAATTGATTGTGAATTGAAAAGAAGCATTTGAAAAAGGTTTTCAATGTGATATGATTAGTTTGAATGAAGAAAGCTGCTTCTCCACCCTCGTCGTTCTCCCGCTTCCCCACTCACTCCCGGGATGCGGTGAGCATGTGTAATTTAAGGCAGGTGGTCCTGCAGAGTGGTCTCACCACAGAGGATGAGCGTATGTGCATTTGATACCCTGCCTGCTGCTCTGCAATAGACTTTAAATAGACTCTGACTATTATTTGGCGTTTGGCTATTACATTTATTTTCACTTTCTTTCAAAGACTTTTCTCTCTCATTTCGTCATTTTCCACATACTGAAATGGAACCCTGGTCCAATAGCACCATATA